GTAAAGAGGTCTTGCTTGTTTCTTTTTGATCTGGCTTGTTGCCACCAAGAAACATGAAGCAAAAGGAATTTCCTCAATTCACCATATGTTCTTATGAGTTCGGTGTTTTCTTTTGTCCATTTTCTCATTTGTCCCATGAGATTTGGTGTGAACAAAGACGATTTGAGTGAGTCTCTTCAGTTTATTAATAAAGCATTTTTCACTGATGTAAGCGATTCAATGTCCGTCAGGTAGTCTTTTAAGACCAATGATTGGTTATTCGCAGACAAAGGCTTGAGACGGTAGCGAGTCACAAATCAGCGAATTACATTCAAGAGGTATTTGACTCTGCAAAGTACGCTTAATGCAAAGACCTTTTTCATGTGGAAGCAGGTGGTTTCCATTACACGGCATACAAAAACTGGTGCGCACCATTCTATACATTTGTGAATCCCCTAAAATGGAGACAAAAATGCTGCCATACGAGGCCATGCTACGTGCGCATTTTGATAGAGAAGAAGAAGCAGTTATTATTTTTATCACGCTATTCTAATTTTTTTTACTTTTACATGGTCATTTGAGGAGTAGGAAATCCGACTTCAGTGACCTTTTCCTGCGTAAATGAAATGGTTTGATGCGTAAATCACATTCTACTGTGGTAATTTATTATAAAAAAATTATGTTGATTCCTGAAGTTCTGGAGACGCCTTTATAACCGATGTCTTAAGGTAAGAGATTTTAACACTACAGATGCCTGGTTTGATTGCATCGTGACCCTAAAATCAATAATTCCACTCAAACCCATTTGACAGGTGTGATGATTCATAGCTTGAGGGGGTTGAATTTGCATCTTTGACCTAATCCCAAGGCGTGTTTGCGGAAAAAAAAACAGTGTATAGGGTCTGACATTTCGGGCCAATCATCCAATCAGTAGTGTGCCTCCAAGCTGCATGTGCACACTAAGCTGTCAACACTGTCAAACCAGCGATACTAGAAGCATGTTTTGGAAATGCAGAGAGGAAAGATAAGCTATGCAACACAACGATAAAATCACATCTTTAACATTCCCAATTCCCTTGTGCAGGAAGTAGGAAATTGGTGGTTTGAGTAAAACCTATCACAGACGTACTGTGCCACGAGAGCGCTGCCTACTTTCAACAAAATCATAAGATGCCTTGCCATTGATGAACACATATGTTCGCCACTAGTCCCTTCACGAAACTGCAAGCCTTCTAAGTGTCTCCATTAAATAAAACGAAAAACAATCGCCTAGGTGAGCAGAGCCGCAATCAAGGCACAAGTCAAGCATAGAAGAATGTGAATAATTAAAACACTCCTGAGTACAAACCCACCCTACTGCTGGTCAGAGATGTAAAATAAGCTCCTAAATATGGTTTTCTTCAGCGCAGCATAAGTACTGTCATATAGAAGATAAGCTATGCAAGAATCGTCGTGTTGTTGGTGTAACCTCTCCATTCTCTGATAGATACAATATTTCCTCGCAGTAGGATTAGTACTTAGAAATTCTCACAATGGGTAAACTAATAGTTTTATTTGATGTTAGTGACAGTGGAGATGACGCGAATGACAATCCCATTGAAAAAAGTCGTAAGTCATGCTTCAAAAAGCCTAAAGCCTGTTGTGTGGACTGTATCGATAACTTTGAAGCGATGACTAGCCTGTCATTGGGTATTTAACCCAACAGACGTTGGACCAAAAGCGTAGTGAAGTGATTGTGATAGTGAACATGTCGAGAGGACGCATGAAAACATTCGTGTCGGGGTTATTGGGCAGGTCCTTATGCACCAAAGATAAAATCGTTGCCGTTTTCCAACTCCCCTTGATTCGACCTACTGATGAGTTCCAGGAAGGAAAACGACAGCAATGGATGGAATCCATCATCACCTGGACCCATCATTTGAAGGTGAAACAAGGCTACCAGATGGTAGATTAATTAAGTTTTTATGGGAGGTAGAATGAACCACCTGCCTCCATGATCTGCAGATCGTTTCATCATCAGGACCATGTTTTGATGGCCTAAAGCCTGTCTTTCTTCGCCCTACCACACACGAGCTGGATTTGCTGTTTCATCCTTTACTTAAACTACCCAGATAAACTTAGAGGCGTGGTCACTCCTGAAAATGCGAGTGAATACTTCAGTTTGTGTCAGCCAATGCTATCTGTGCCTACATTTAAACTCCATCGTCTAATGTAAATAAATTGTATCCATAGGACACCTGACCGCGTAGGGATAAGTTCGTCAGTCGCTGCGATGAATTTGTTTCAGCCATAAACTTTTGTACATGGCCGAACTAAGTCAAAATAAAGGAGTTTCCCTTGCCCAGTGCTGCCAACAGACCGTTTTTCATGGTTTTCTTCATTCCAGCTGGATGAAGAAATTGCGTATCGTTAAGAGAACAAGAGGAAACACAAGTGCATTCATGTATGCGCGTCCAGTCTTTCAATTTCAGCTGAATATCATTCGAAAAGACAAGAAAATGATGCGGTGTAGATTCGTGCATAGCCTATCTGCAACTCAAGACATGAAGGAATATTGATGCAAAAAAACCGACTGTAAGGAAGTTCGAGTCAAGGTTCGATCATATTTCAAACACATAGCCGTTCAGAATCTGCGCTCTTTACAATTCCAACTCCTGTGCTTTTTATCAATGTAAATTGTGTTTACGCTTGGATATGACACCCGATGTAATGTCTGACTTGCGGACCCATGCGAATTTGCAATTCCTACACACAGTTAAGGCAAATTAATTGTCTGAGGGCTTACTTTAAGGGCCTAGCTTACGGCTAAGAACGTTGCGTTTCAATGTTGAAATAGATGGGGGCACTTTCTGCTGAAGTTAATGCTTGAAAAAAAATCATTCCCATATGGCAGTGCAGGTCACGTTGCTGTCATATACGGAAGATAACCTCGTCCAAAATTCCACGGCAGCATTGGAGGTTAAAGACGATGAGTTGTCAAGACTGAAGGAATCATGCGACGACCTTATTTTTATGGCCGACACGCCTTATTTCCCTAGTAGGTGCAGCAATGTGCTTCGTGCCCCCGATAAAAATATGTCCTTATCCCCGGTGCAACTTGTGCAATTCCATCTGATGATTCCGTGTGATTTGCTTATGGATTACAGGGTGAAAATGGTTACTCAAATACAGGAATCTACGTTATGTGATGAATTGCGAAAACGTCCGTTTTCGGTTCTTTTTAGGAAGTATGAGATGTGAGTTTGCTTTGAATAAAGGATTTGTCCTATGGGTAATAGTGGGATTCCAGCTGAAAGTCGGTATGTGCTCTAGATGCTGGAGCAACACGGCCCGCTATTCTACTGACCAATAGGAAAGCCGCTGCGATGACCTTACGAAAACCAATCGCATTTAGCGAAACTAACATATGTACGAAAACCTCGTGATTTATGTGTCTAGTACCAAAAAATTACAAGAGAATCAATTGCCTCAGAAGAAAAAACCTAGATCTGATCATGCATAAAAATGGTTTTCATTACTGACCATACACCACGACATGGAAGAGAACATACGTAATGGATAACAAGTGTTCGAGACACACCGCCTTTACTTTTGAAATCCAAATTGACAAACCGTTCTGCCATAATAAAACATGGACAAAATAAGGAAAAGGAACTATGACGGGCACTTGCCTGTGAACCCTAGCAAACAAGTGCAACTAGAATCAGTTCTCACGATGAAGACTTTTGAGTGAGGCAAATTGAATCGTTTCGTCAACTTGTTATTGGTATTACAAACATTTTGAGTAAGATGTGAAGCATTTTATCGGACAAAGTGGAGTTCCAAGGTAGCACAGTGCTGTGCAGACAAATGTGCACGTGACTGCCACATTAGGCTCAGATCTCTTTTGTATGGGCAAAGGAATCACGCGAGTGCAATCCTCGCTTGCTATTAGCTCTGCCCCACCTGCATACACGCACACGTGCGTTTCTACGCGTGCGTGCGACAGTGTGACATCTATTCAAGCTTTGATTGGCTGAATCGTCTGGCGTTTTTACAACAAGCAGTATGCAAGCATGTAGTTTCTATTGATCGTCTTACCCTAGCCAATGAGGAACTCGAAAGCGTTTTATAAATTAGGCGTCAAGGCAGCATTTCCATTCGCGGTAGTTCACGTTTTGGTGTTTTGGTTCGAGTTCCTCTCATGACCGAGTCTCCCTTGAAAGATGGACTCCTGTTACTACTTCAAGCTGCACAGAAGATAGATCGAGGTAGGGTTTTGTAAAATTTATTTATTGCACTTTCTTATGCTTCCTTATCCCTTTTCACGTATTTTGTGCCTTATTATGTGGTAGAATCTAAAAGTACTTGCCATCACCCAGAAAGGTGGGATGCTCGTACTGGGTCTTCCAGACACTTCTATGATGACGGACCCGCACATTTCCCTTCGCCTTACTCGTCTTCGTCCATTCATAGACGAAACGCTCCCTCAACTAGATGTACCCACAATGAGCTTGAAAAAAGTCGGTATGCACTCCCTTCAACACCTTATAATGAAACTTTAACAGGCGTGCGCATTTACGGACCTGTATGGATGCATTGAAGGAGCTCCTCGTATTTGATACTGAAGCACCTAGGATAACTACTCTTACAGTTTTGCGGAAAGCGACATCGACCATTCAAGTATGCGATAGCACTTGCCTGCATTGATGTGAACTCACTTCAATTCCGTCGCTCGACTTATAACGTAATGTGTTCTTACTTCCGCAGCAACTGCAACAACGCAATGAGTACCTTGAAGCGTGTGAGGATGGTGAGAAGCAGCGATTTTCACAACTCATGAAACGTCGTCAAGCTCTCCGGAAGAAAATCGAAGCTAAGCGCAATCGTACTCTGAAAATTCAAAATTGGCGTGAACGGAACAGGAACTATTCTGAGTGTTCGGTCTTGACAACCTCTTCCGGTAAGCACTCGATCTATCCTGCTGCATACCTTGCTTCTTCTACATAAGTTTATGGCCTCAGCAAGGTTGCTTTTTTTCAGTCTTGCTGTAGGTGAATTGGAATAGCGGTTCTTGCCTCTGTCACCGAAGAGTCACGTGTATGCTTTTGGTGCATTAACGCTTCTGAGTGTGGGGCGAGCTTTTGTTTCACCAGCCATGTGTTATCGAGGACTGGTATTGATGGCCTCTCAGTTCTTCGTTTGATATCCATGCCTTTTGTTCGCGGCATCCTTTTATAGCAGACGAAGTTACAGAACTCAATTTTGCAGCCAGCTTAAATCATTACTATCGCCTAGTTCTGAGACGCCTAGCAATTATTAGTATCACATCGAAGATGTCGTTCATTGTTAAACTCTCAGGGAGAATTCCATCACGCTCAATCTGCTTTTATTAGATTAAACTTCCTTCTAAGTTTAGCCTATTAGTGCGGGGTTTTGTTCTGTAATTGCGCCTTTTCGACGGTGTCACTTCGATCGATGCGAAGTTCGTTTAATTGCCTTCCTACTTTTGAATTGCTGTTTCCACAGCTGCTGAAGGAGTCATCAGTTTGTTTACATCTACTTGAAGGACAGGAAGAGACAGGTTTTGATTAATCTGATACTGTACTTTTCGGCAACTTGCTTGCTATTTAGGTACCTTTCACTCTTAAATAAATTCGAAGTAAGCTGAACGCCTTAGCTGACTGAAATCTGGGTGGAGAGCTTTTCCCTGTGACTTGGGACATGGGTCGTGAGTTTCTTTGAACGCTTATCTAAGCGTGATCCGTGCTGGGGTGAAAACTTTGGAATTTCGTACAACCAAATCAACCAAACTTGGTTGTCGTTACTTTCCGGTTTAGAATAGGTTTGTGGCCGTTTACGCGTGGATTTTGATTGTTAATTGTTTTTCCGTTTCAGAGGATTCCGAGATGGGTTACAGCTCACGCCATATGCCTTCAAATGTGTACAGCATTTTGCCTCTTCCGCACCATCAACAGCAACAGCAACTTTCTGCCAATGATAATCATCGGTACGCCTCTCCCTATGGAACCACTGCGGGCGTAGTAGCTACGACTGCAAATTCTACAGCCACAACGGCAGCTGCAACAGTGTCTATGATGAATTCGGACTCAGCAACCACAGTAACGACGCCAGCAACTAATACTTCAGCAGCAGCGGTGACCTATGCAGCCTCCCAGGCGCATCCTAACCCTTCGTACCATCCGAAGATGGTGTCGCATTCTCCACACTTATCAACCGGAGCCCAAGGGATGAGTCCGACGGATGCGTATGATGCTAGCAGCTCAGACTCAGGTTTCGAGGAGGTGATCACGGCGACGAGCGCTGCAGATGAACAGCAGACTCTGAAGATGGTCCCGTCTGTTGTTTCCAACACTGAAGAGGTAGTCTACACTGCCTACCAAAGCGGTGACGGCTTCAAGGGTTACTGAATTGTGTTGGGAGTTTCCGTTTCGCCGGCTTGCCTCCACGTCATCCCCTGTTCATTATTCATTTTTCTCTTCCCCACTCCTCCAAAAGAGATCTCTTTCTGGCAGCCATAAGATAAGAGCACTGCGCCTGCTCTCAGTATTCCTCGTTACTGCGCGTGCTCCCGCTGGTGTGTGCGTGCGGATGATCTCAAACGAAAGACGCAAGTCAAAATTGCACACACGAATCGATTTCGGCTCAAGTGAATGCACACCAACACACACTTCCCTTCCCTCTCTCTTCACTCCATTGTCGTTGTTCTCGTCATGGTAGTCCTACGACGAACCTATTTTATCGACACGAAAACTCACGTGCACTCACTCTCTTCTCCCCTCGCGCTCTTACAGTTCCGCGTGGGTTCTACTTCGATTCCCGCGAATGGATGCATTTTCCACGTGTGTACCAACGCACGTGTGTGCTCTAGGGTCTTCTCCCTCCAAGGTTTCATATCTTTCTCGCTCTCTCCTGGTCACAGTTAACCCACTTTGTCCTTCTCTTCTCAACTTCTTGTGGTGGAAAGACGACAATCGCTGTTTTCCCAGGCCCTCCACCTTCGGGTGTCAATGCCTCCCCTTGTGGTTAATTTTAATGAGAGGCGGAAAATTGAAACTACGTGTCTTTCAAAAGCAGTTATATGCGGCTATCATTTACCTGGGCGATTATTTTACCTTCCCCGAACCTGCTATTTCTTTTTTTCGTGTGCGTGAGTGTGTAATGCTAGTTATTTTCCTCTCCTCTCACCTTCTGCGAGA